ATTCAATAACAGTCATCCCTCCTTGGCGTAATTCTTTCACCTTGGTGTTGAGATCAAAAGCCTGAGAGGCATTGCCCAGGTCAGAGTAATATTCTTTAACAGCTTCCCATATTTCTTGAGCCGTATCAAGAAATAAATAAGTTTGACTGATATCTGGTTCCATAGAATTAGTCAGTCATGTCATGACCAAAGCATTTTCAGTCACCCAAGCATCATAGCCAGGTTCACGTTCTGCTGGTTTTACCTTTGTTCTGTCAAGATACCCCATCTTCCCTTTAGCCTGGATAAACAACTTAACAGATTGACACCATTGCACATAGTTCCTACCGTTTAAACGATGATTGGTGATCTGCATTGCTGGGTTGTCTCCAGAAGACGAAGAGTTGGGAAGGGGTGGGGTTCCAGACGAAATTCCAAAATTTTCAGCGTCCATGGCTTTCTAACAACAAGTACCCAGAAAAAAAGTTCCTCCAAATATGATTTTGACCCTCAAAACATGAAGAAGGGAGGCAAACGATCAGAACGGGGTATGACTCGCCGAAAAAAAATGACGGCAGGGCGGCGCGTGGAGCACACACGCCGACGAGGCTGAAGGTTGATGGCGGCGCGTGGAGGGGTTTCCGGCGACGAGTCTTCTGGGGGCTGGCTCGGAATTTTGTTCTGATCCTAGTGGTGGCCTTGGTTTCGTGGTTGGAGGTGTCTAGGTAAGGATTAAGCTTGGGCAGTGGCAAAAAAACGAAAAAAGAATAGGAAGAAGACTTTCAAAACAAATCAGAATGGGGAAGAGACTGGAATATAACCAGCTCTTGATACCATGAAGAAAAGAAGTGTTTTGTCTGAATAACACATTTTTTTGATTCATTGAGAGACTCAATGGGTCCTTTTTATATTGAGTACAGTGAGCTACATCAATAAATAGAAACAGTAAACTAAGAGACTCATTTACAATAACAAGAGACACTAATAAATAAGGGAACAGATAGCAAAAAAGCAATAAATGATAAATCACAATCTAGAATATTCTACGTCATATACCAATTTCAAGGGTCCAACAGAATTCCAAAGGTGTAACTAGAAAGCAGTTGCAGATTTCCCAGCACAAGTCCACTCCTAAGTCTCTTACCTCTACCAGTTGGTTGCATCAAAAGAAGATAGGGCATCCTCCTAGTGTTCTTCGAACTATGTTTCCATCTTTATTTTTGTATGCAACTGTTGAGTCATTTTACAATGATGCTTGCGAATTCACAAAACACCATCATGTATCTTTTACTTCAAACTCAATAAAAAGAGTTGAACTATTCAATTTTACTCATTCTAATGTTTCGTTCCTGCAAAAATGGCTAAGTCTGTGGGGCTAAATAATTTGTCTTTTATTGATGATTGCACTCATGTAACCTGAATTTTTTATGAAAGCCAAGTCTGAAATGCCAAAGTTGTTTATCCAATTCCATCACATGGTTGAGATACATTTTGCAAAAAACATAAAAAGATTGCATTGTGAAAATGATAGAGTACGTCAACCAACTCTCACAATTTGTCGAGGTCAATGGCCTAATTCATGAGTTCACATGTGTTGACACCCCTCAAAATGACGGGGTTGTTGAATGGAAAAATTGTCACATGCTGGAAGTGACCGGAGCATTACTATTCCAGACATCTATTCCTAGTTATTGTCATTTTAACTACAACATATTTGATCAATCAATAACCTCGTATCTTTGGCAATGTAAGTCTTGTACACCTCATGACGTCTTTTCTCCATCTATTCCTATTATGCAAAGTCTTTCATCTCCAGTGTTTGATTGTGTTGCCTTTGTTCATGTTCATAAACAACAACACAACTAACTTGATTCTCGATCTGTTAAGTGTGTTTTCTTGGGTTAAACCCCTGACAAATAGGGTTACAAATGTTATCATCCTCAGTGTCATTGTTTCTATGTTTCCGTGGATGTTACCTTTCGTGAAAATGTATCCTTCTCTTGCCCTCACCTTTAGGGGGGAGAGCATTTCTAGAGTTTTGTCCGACTCTTATTTGAGTTTGATTCCTACTTTCCTATGCCTGAGTCAAATACTAAGTCAATCGTATATTATGTGCCAACTCTTCATTATGAGTAGTTAGAAGCTGATGGGACCCAAAAAAAAGGAAATAAGATTGGTTGTAAATAGCCTTACAGAAATGTAAGAAAACATTACCCAGAGGACTGCTCCCAATTCCCTTTCCCACTGTTTACAATAAATTTTCCATATGCCAACACCCCACATTCCTACCCATTATATATCCCACCTCCACCAATTTGTTAGACAATTTCTCTCTCCTCTAAGTGATTCCTAATGGGCCCACTGTCTAAGCCCATTAGGAACTCTACCCAGTACCTCACCAAAAACATATATTATCAATCAACCTAGGGTTGGTACACCCAAGTTGGTGCATTAGAGGAGGAGAAACCCCAAATTGATCTCACAGCAGCCAATGCCCGAACAAACCAATGTTATTAGTAGTGCGTGATTGTGCCACTATTGCACCGTAGCGGTGCACAACAGCCCCCCTCCGTGACAAACACTATGCAACGCCCCTCTGTGACAAACACTATGCACCGCAATGATTTGGAGTAGCGGTTGCAATCAAGACCCAAATTCGCTACTACAGTGAAGGAGGGAAAATTCCATCTTTGCCTCTATCTGAAGTGTTGCATGCCAATTTAAGCGGGCAAAACTGACTTTGATCTCTGTTTATTATTTTGATATGTTGCCATTGTGAACCACATTGTGCTCACTACCTCTCTGAATCCACTCCTCTCTCTCTCTCTCTGAATCCACTCCTCTCTCTCTCTCTCCTTTTGACAAGTCCACTACAGTTTTGGCAGTTTATCGACAAGCCCATTAGGGAAAATATTAATATCTTTGCAATATAATAGTATGAAAAATGCAAACCATAGGTTAACTTCTGCAAAGGAGGTGGCTCAATTATTCATTCAAAACATAGTCAAGTTACATGGTTCCCCCCTTTCAATCGTGTTTGATAGAGAATCTTTCTAAGCAATTTTTAGACTGAAATTTTCAAGAGTTTTTGCACCCAATTTTTCATGTTTCTTTTCTTATAAAGCTCATTCTAAAATTAATAACCGCCAACTATTGCCACCTATGTTGAGTGATGAGTTAGAACTTTGGGTGGAACAAAAGGACATTTTAGACCGATGCGGAACCACTTCTGGATAGCTGGAAGTCTTACTATAATGGAAAAATTTACCATCTATTGAGAACACTTGATAGGTTGCTTCTTCAATTCAACAACATTTTCCCTCATTTCACCTCCTCGAGGACAAGGTGAATTTTTTTTTTTTTTTTACTTTTTCTTTTCTTTTTCTTTTTTTTTTGGGAGGGGGGGGGGGGGAGAGTTTTCATAAAGCTCCTACAATGAAAGTCTCTGTTGGAAGATAAGCGAGCGCAAGCATTTTATTTTAGCCGTTGATTCTAGCGGAATTCCAACATCAGTTCAAGGAGCATTAAAAGATAAGAAATGGGTTTAAGCCATGCATAAAGAGACGAGTACTTGGAAAAGAATAAAACATAGGCAGTTGTTAAGAGACCAAAGAGAAAGAGAGTAGTGGAGCAATGATGGATCTATATTTTAAAGTATTTGTCTGATAGTACACTTTAAATGTGCAAGGCAAGGTTAATTGCAAAGGGCTATACTTAAACATATGACATTGATTATTGGTAAATATTTGCTCCAGTTAGGGGTGTCAAAACGGGTTGACACGACACGAATTCGACACAACACGAATACATCAACATTAACACGACACGAATTTTTATTCGTGTCAAAATCTTCAACACTGACACGACGCGAATTTTTTGCGGGTTGACACGACACAAATAACACGAAAAATAAAAGTCAAAACAGTAATTGACAAAAAAATTTAAAAAAAATGGATCGAAATTAAAAAAATTTAAAAAATAATAATAATAAATTAAAAATATAATAATTTAAAAAAAATACGGGTCGACACGAACACGAATACATCAACACGAACACGACACGAATTTTTTTGCGGGTCAACCCAAACACGAATTTTCGTGTCGTGTCGCGGGTCGACCCGCGTGTCAAAACCTATATTGACACCCCTAGCTCCAGTGACAAAATTGAACACTAAGTCCTATTATCTCTTGTTTCTCACTTTGATTGGGAATTGAACTAATTTGGTGTAAAAAATGTTTCCTTTACGACGAATTGAGTTTTATATGGAAATCCCACCAAGATTTGATTCCAAAAATGGAGAAACTAAAATATGTACGTTGAAAAAGGCACTATACAAGTTGAAACAATCAACACACAAGTTAAGGTTTACAAATGTTATGGTGTCCTTAGGAGTTAGGATACAAGAAAAGTCAGGGAGATCACACTCTCTTCATTAAACATTCACCGAAGGAAAAACTCAATATTCTTCTTCTCTATGTAGGTGACATCGTTATAACAAGAGAAGATCTGGTTGAGAAACGACTACTACACGAAAATTATACTAGATGACCTTGATGAAATATGAAGAGTTTATGAAGTTGTTATGTGAAACGACTACTACTCTATTAGTTGATTTGTTGACTAAAGGGCCTCCCACCAAGAGATTTCACAACCTCATTTGCAAGCTTGAAATGATAAAATATTCATTCACAAGCTTAAGGGTGAGTGTTGTAAATACATATTGTAAATATAAAACTAATAATTGTGTAGTTATTCAAATGTGAATTTGTGTACTTATTCAAAGGTGGTTGAGCCACCTTTGAATTTTTGTACCAATAAGTCTTGGCTTTTTGTAACAACATTACTCAATAAATTGTAAATATTTGTACATTAATATACAAGCACAAAAGATACAGAATTCCAAGTTTCCACTGTTAAAAAAAAAAAATTAGAGATAGCAGTTGAAGACGTTATATGAAATAAGCACTGCAATTTCATTTTATTATAAATATTTATCCTATAGTGCCTCAATAGTACTTACAAGGAACACATCACAGAGAGCCGAGAAACTTTTATTAGCATCATCCACCATCAAAATAATACTTTGAACAGCTTCTTTAGAGTTTTGTACTTCTGACATCATTTCTTGAACTCCCATGGAAACATTGACCACAAAGTCAAAATTTTCATCCTACATAAAGCTTCAAGAATGAATTTTATAGGATAGGATATAATATGTATCATTGTCATATAAAACTTTAAACTTATACATAATCATGAAGACATTATAAGTAAACAAGAATCTAAATGTTCATAAAAGCATCAAATGCATACATTAATGATACTCACAGTTTCTCTGGAACTAAGTTGTTCATTAGCCGCTCGAGCTGCTTCCTGTGCATTTATAAGCTCTTCATAGAGCTAAGCAAATGAAACAAAATACAGGAATTAGAAATGTTAACTGGAAATAGAGAACACAGTTTTATATTTCTCCAACCAGATCTATATATACCTGCTGCATCAGCAAAAATAGAGTTTAGATATGAATGTTACAGAAGTATATAAACCAGCCTTCACTTAACAACTTAAGCTTTTGGGTTGAATTGGTTCTTTACATAGTATCAGAGCCTTGTGTCCAAGGTTCGATCCTTACCACCCCCCACTTTCTCTTGTGGAATTTCTTAGCATAGATAGGTGGGCTTGTGCATTATCTACCCTTTATGCCCAATGGGCTCTCGTGTGAGGAGGCGTGTTAGAAAAGTATATAAACTATTGATGGGCCTTCACTTAACAGTTTAAGCTTTTGGGTTGAATTGGTTCTTTATAATGGATAACAAATTTAGACATACAATTATGAATCTTCTTTCCAATAATTAATTAAAACATTATGCATAACACTGAAATGGATGCAACTATGTATTATCTGCGGTAGTGAAAATTTCAAATTGTGTGTATGAATTATTACACAGAACTGTTATACAGCGCCTTGACATCATATAGTAACCTATCTTTACTACCATATTTTGTCGCAAAAAAAAGGAAAAAAAAAAAACTTAATGTCAACTGATAAAGAGGCAAGTAATTTTTATTATTCTCTCCTTTTTTTTTCTTTGTTTTACTTTTCATACATTAGCATATGTAATGTAGTTATTTCGACTTGTATATGAGGATAGAAAGGGCATACAAACATTCTTTAGGATGGCAAGGTTCAACTCTACAGTGGGGGAGTTCGGACGACATAAACTGCTGAGGTTGCTGTAGCTACTGAATTTAAACTTGATATCTTAGAAGTGACATATCAAGGAAAAAATAAAAAGAAAGCTTTTCTCTATGCTTGACTGGAGTTCAGGGGTAGACCCGCTTGATTGGAGATCAAGGCGTAGATCAGACAACTTGTATATCTGGAATTCCCGATGGACTTCATTTAGGGTGTGTTGGTACAAGGTTATTTGAAAGATTACTGGTAAACCTTCTTTGGTAAACGTAAATTGCCATGTTTGGTAGAAGTAAATAAAATTCAGTTCCCGGGTATCCTTAATTATTAGTAATTTGATTTACAAAGAAAAGTCACTATTCAGATTACCAAAAACAATATGGTAATTCAGAATTCCAAGTAAAGGGAAAGCACAACAACAATTTTTGAGACAAAAATACCCCAACACACATCAAAACCTAAACCCAATTTATCAATTACAAAAGTAAAAATAGTCTGGGGTTATTTTTGTAAAATAACCTCATATTCCAAGTCATATTTCGTTCTAAACCAAACATGGAATCAGTAATCTTTACCCAATATTCCTGGTAATATTTTGGCGAACCAAACACCTTTTTCGTAACATTCCGGGTAAATTCAATTTCTATTGTATTCCCAGTAATCGTGATTCCCGGATACCAAAAAATTTCTCTTGTACCAAACACACCCTTAGAATCTTGTTCATATTAGGTCCATTGCAATGAAAAATAAAATATAAGTTCCTCACTCAAACAATTCAACCACTGCAAGCTTTAGGATAGTTGATGAGTAACCAATAATCTAATAATCAGCATCTTTTAATCAGATTAGAAGGCATAGTAAAAGAAACATTGTTGACTTAAACAATGATTACCTCTTCATATTTCTCCCTGACACATATGTTCTGCTCTGTTGCCAGATCAACAACATTATCCAGGTTTTGTTGGCTTGATAACTTTTCCATTTCCAAAACCTTAATCTTCAACGTGAAGGGACAAAAAATATAAGCAGGACACAGATAAAAGTCAAAAAATATATAAATACATTTTAATGCAGCACAAAGTAGGAATTGGTTATTAAAAATTGTAATCAAATAAGCTTTAGGAACTAAAGAAATAACAGTGAAAAGAAACATGAAAAAGGAAACAAAACCTGCTCTTGAAGCTTCTTGATAACAAGAATAGTCTCCGACTCTCTAAAGCTCATATCTTTAGCCCCGTTGAAATTAACACTACTGGCATAATTTAAACAATCAATAGATTCTGTGGAATCAAGAGAATTTGCCTCAGCTAGCTGTTTTTTCAATGATTCAATATGTATCTCACTCATAGTTCTCTGCAATAAGAAAAACATGGGCATGTTTAGAGTCTAGCTGCTTCTGAATGGCAGGAAGTGAATCAAGAATTAAAAAAAAAACCTGAGTTTCAAATTTTAGAAGCAAATTCTCATATTCTGCCTGTAATTCTAGAAATTTGTTGTCCTCCTGCTATACTGCCAAGATATTAGAATACAAACTACGGAGCATTGAAGAGAGGAAAATATTAATAACCCATATGATATGACAAACCATGGATAAGCTTTTCTTCAGCGATGGAGCCTTTTTCCTATTCGTTACATGCAATAGAGCACAAGGGTTTGGTAGACTGCAATTCTCATTAGCATCACCTTTATTATCATCTTCCTTAAAGGACTCGTCCTCATAAACATCTTCATTTACAAGTTCCTCAAAAGGAATAAGTGGTCCCATGTCTTGCTTAGGTCTTACAGGTTTTACAGTAGAAGCATTTGGCCGGATGCTAGAGTATACCTATGGTGCACCAAAAAACAAATGAATTGTGATTACAAAAACAAGACACAAACAAGTTAACAACAATCGTCTAAAATAAATGTCATAATATGCAAGGATAACAGTAGTATTATATATAATATTGATTTCTAACTTATGAATATTTTCTAGCAACTTACATCTGAAAGTTATCTATACCTTCATAAGAAAGTCAAGAATTGAAAAATACTTAATAGTAAATTCTTTAAAGAGAGAACAAGGAATTAAATACAATGAAAACCTAAATGTCACATAACCACATCAAAGCCATACACAGAAAATGAAGCAGTTCAATGTCCTACTCCCACTCTTTTTCCCAGGTATATCCTGAGTTACCAGATTGCTCTCTACATCCAGATACAAAAATCAGATCAGATAATACTGCTCTTTTGAATGACAAGCCGCAGCTTCTTACAAAACACTAATACCATCTTTATATAGCACATTCCTTTTGCTAACTTTGAGTCATTTGGTCTTCTTTCTAATAAATTACTTCTGACATTATCTTGTGCTTTCAATGAGGTCACTCTAGGCATCAGTCAAGAAGATTGAGAGAATGAATCATTGGCAGAACCGTGTCTTGCTGGACTGAAGTTACACAATAAAAACAGCATGCTAAATATGAACGTAACTGGACTCATTCAGTCACAACCTCACAGGAATAGAGATATGCAAATCTAGGAAATATTTAGTTACGCACAGATCATCCAAACATGGATTTGACCACAGTCAAGCCAATAATAAACCTGGTTGCCTATGAAAAACTTTTATAAACAAGGAAATGTTTCTTAGTAGTTCTGCAATTGTATCTCTCGCTACAGTAAAAGTTCATGTAATTTACCTCAATAAAGGATAAATGATGTGATTACAACAATACAAATAATTTAAATGGCACCATACACATAGACACCAATTCATAATTCATAAAGGACAAGACCCATAAGAACTAATAGTCAACTATTAGCAATAAGGTAGCATGTTACATCTCGTAGATGCTCCTGTGAAAGATTTCCTAGACACCATGTATCCCGCCTCTTCTCCTGTAGAGCATTCATGAAAACTCAATCAACCAATGGTGGTGAGATAGATGGAAGATGCAAGAAAGAAAGACCAGAAGAAAGCATATTAGTTGCAAGGAGTTAATGCAGCCAAAAGAAAAAGTAAATAAATATGCTTATGTGGGCAGTAATCGCATGAAGAGAACTGAAAAAATCAGGGTTAAAGTTAGGAAAACCAGTTCTTGATGCAAGGTGTCACTGGAAAAAGATTGAAGAACTTAGAGATTTGTACAAATTTGCTTGAGTGATTTGCACTCAGCCTGCTGTGATTACATATACAAGAGAAAATTCATTACAATCTTTATTTACAAGAACAATAAATAGGAAGAGATATTTCCTAGAGCTCATGGTTTCCAATGAAACTAATTCCAACAATATGTTATTTCCAACACTCACCCTTAATCTGGCGCATATATATATCATTAGTGTAAATATTTGTGTATTGACTTAATCTTCCCAATAGGGAGTGCCATAGGGGGTGTAAATGGGTCAGGTGGCCTAACAGGGGACTGCAGCCCAGCCCAGCCTACATCAAGCAGGCTTGACCTATAATATATAGTCAAATAGAACAGGCTCAGATTTTAAAAAAAACCTATTTAGAAAACAGGCCATTAGCTTTCTTTTACAAGCCGGCCTATAAGCCTACAGACCGATCTATATCATATATTTATTTTAATTAAAAAAAAATATTTTATTATTTAAAATCATTAAAATAATAAAATATTTTTTTTTAATTTTTTTTTTTTTAATTATTGAATGTCTAATAGGCTTAAGCAGGCTAACAGGCCTAGGCCAAGGCTTTTGTTTTTTAAATATAGGTCAGGCCATACTTATAATTCGAGCCTACACAAGGCTAACAAACCAGGTCAGACCTAAAGTATTTTACATAAGCCTGACCTATTTAAGTCAAAACTCAGCCCAGTTCATTTACACCCCTAGGGAGTGGTTGCAATACAATACAATACATACAGTATAGTAAACGGAAATAAGGAAACTAAATAAATACAAGAATTAATCAAACCATTAAAACAGATCCTATTTGAGAAACCAATCAAATACTTTCTGCTATTTCTGAGAATCTGCATCTCCATGTTCCATTAATGTAACATTCACAAGATGCTTGAATTACAATTTATAGCTATATATATGTCAAGAAGGTCATGCCTATATAAAGGCAAGTAGCACTAAAAGCTTCTGATAAGTAATTCGCAGGATGCTGATCCCTGGCTATCAATTTTGGAAAAACTGGATATTCATCTCCAATGAAAGCAAAACAAACTCTTATTCCTTAAGCATACAATTTAAAACCAGTGAGCAACAAAAACCACTTTGTAGTACAGCATTTTATATATTTTATTTGTAGGATGTATCCCAAACACAGCAAGGTTAGCTTTAATGACCTGGGAAGAAATTTAAAGAAAAAGAAGAAAAACAAAAACATGCATGCCACTCAAAAAAGTATGCTTGATATGTACATGCATTAATAATACCTTTTTAATATGTTCACGACTCTCATCCCTATTTGAAAATAAAACCATTGAACTCAAATTTTCAATTTTCTTGGCTTGCTCCTTTACTCTCTTCTCCCATTCAGCTTGGGTTTTCTTTTCCTCCTCTAACTGCAAAGCAATGCGCTCCCTTTCCAGTTCAATCTGGCAAGAAAAGCATTGTAACAAACAGAATACACAAGCCTTTTTATAATAATTAACCAACAAGGAAAAATCATACACCTTTAATAATTTATTTCGAAGGTTCAGAATCTCCTCTTCCAAATGCTCTGAATGAGAACCCTGAACAAAATACGAAATATAAATATGGCAACACTTTAGAAAACAGAATTTCTGTTCATTTTCTACCAAACAAAGATCACCATCAATTTGGCACGAAGCTCTTCAATCTCTTTCATTTGGCGCTTTAACAAAGCAGCATCTGTCAAAATCTGGAAAAACAAAGTGGAAAAAATTACACTGAAATAAAGGACACACTTCAATGGAAAGCAGAACCAAATCATACAACACAAGGCAAAAGCAGAATGGGAAAACAAAAGTAACTACTACAAACCACTTGGTATCAATAATTGAACCTTCCTGCAAGAGATGATGCAATGAAAACAAATTTTTTTTTTTAAAAGAACAAGTTTATAAGAGAGAAGAGAAAGAACATGAAGAATAAGACATCCTACAAGCAGAAAACTACATTGAAATGGCATAAGATACAAAAAAACCAAGAACAAAATCAAAGTAAAAGCACATTCCAAATATGGGAAATGGATGATAAGAAACCTCATTCACGTGAGCAGAATTTGTGACACGCAATGCTCTGCTTGCAAACTGGAGAGTACTTTTAGTTTCATCTGTATGTATCTGCCACATAACAAATGAGCTGAAATAACTAGATGAAAAGAACATACCTAGGAAACTTTTGAGATTCCTTCATAAAAAAATAAAATATAATATAAGTAGGCTGTACATTAGAAAACAAATTGATCTTGTGTGACTAACGGTAGTATAAAGAACCAATTCAACCCAAAATCTTAAGCTGTTGGGTGAGGCTATATTAATGGTTTTATATATATCTCAACAGGTAGTTAGGAAAATTCAATGTTAGATGGATATTAATTGATATACAAAACAACTGGCAATGACATATCTCCAAGCCAGTGAAGCCATCTACCTTTTTCAACTGAAATGTGCATAATAAGGAAAACTTCACAACTGAAAATGTTTGGAAATAACAATATTTTCAATTCAAGGTTAACGAGACCATATATTCTTTGAACATAGCAAACTCCTTTACAGAGACCTTCCAAATGGCAAGTTGTTTGGGAGGGGGAAAAGCAAAGGAAATTTGAGGACTACCTCAAGTCATGTCACCAGAAGAGAACAGACATAAATATACATTCATTAGTTATTGCAATGATATAAAACCTCATGGTAGATAAACAAGACGTAAACTAGCACATTATATTAAGTAATCTAAAAAGCAGATAATTCGCAAATCGACAGAGTGTTAAACTCATGGATATCTGATCCAATAGAGTGAATGAAGCATAAAACACATTGCAGGGAGATCTTACCTGAGCAAGTGTTATGTTACATATTATAGCTGTTTTAGCATTTCCCCCTAGTGCAGGTTGCAAAATTCGTGTAAGCTTGCTATCTCGATAAGGAACATGACCCCTGCAAAAAATATTAGATTTCCTTTTTTGTTTATTGAAAAATGAAAAGCTAAATAAAATCATTCAAACATACCCCTGGCTCTCAGCACCTTCGCTCAATTTTTTAATCACAGTTCCCAAAGTCATTAAGCTTTTGTTTATATGAGAACCTTCTTTGAGTCGGACACCTTCTGCCCCAGTTTTTGCAGCACGCTCTGAACCAGCAAGATCCACTAAATTCTAGAAATAAGAAGATAACGATTAAAAATATGAAAAATTTACACAAAAGTATTCATTTCGACAAAGGAGAGAGGAAGATACATGTGTGGGAATGCCCACACCCAAAAAGTAAAACCTTTTCCAATAAGATATTGTTGAAATAGTGACATACCAACACTGATACACGGACAGCATCACAAGAGCTATCATTGTCTTCATCTTCACTTCTATCCCTACTCTCAATTATCTACAAAACCCAAGGTATTAATGACTGGAGAGACAAACATAAGCATTTTTCTAAAAACAAAAAGGTAAAGTCGTAGAGAATACTATTACCATACGGAAAATAGTATGGGACCTACTACTGTACAAATTCATATTTGTCTCTCCAATATGTCTATGAGCTGATACAAATGCAAACATAAGGAAAAAAAAATTAGTTGGCTAATAAGAGTAGCACAATATATATCAAACAGTAAGTTGGATATAAAGTGAAAGATATGCAGGTGAGTACGTTCGGAAGAGGGAGGTAAAGTAATAGACCAAAAGATACTTCATGAACATAAATAAATTGCATTGGTAACCAGAAAATTGCAAATGAAGAAAGTGGAGAATTCAAATTGAAATTGAGGCTCATTATCATTTCAATCTTCATTATGCCCTCCAAAACATACATGAATGGAAATTTAAGCCTCGCAAAATTGACAAAGTAGTTAAAAAGTAAAGCATGAAAAAAAATGCAAAAAAATAAATTACATTCTCCATACTCCATGAGATCAAGGACTTGCTCAGGAGAGGCAACAATTTCTTCTCGCAGCCCCGCGACAAATATTCCCCGCTGTGATTTCAAAGAAAAATGATATAAAGTATCAGAAATACAAATATAATACCAGATACGAGCAAACTTAACATACCAAAAAAAAACTATTAAAAAAATAACCTCTAGATTTTCATGAATCTGCAGTTTTCGATGCTCAGGAGCCAATAAGTCATTTATCTCTTCATTATAAATCTCCATATATGACATTCTAAGAAGAAATTCTCGATCCACATCCTAAAATAAAACAAAAAAATAATAATATGAAACATAATATGAGAGTCAACAAAGAGAAATTTCACAGCAAAATAAATAAAGTTCAACAAAAAGACAAATTTGGTGACTGTTTTATATCTTTGAGCAAAAGATGTTGTGACTAAAATCTTTCAAGGATTAATATGGTAACACACTGATCTTTGAAAAAACCAATCTAAGAGTTTATTGTTTCATAAATTACAAAATTAACAGTAGGATGTATAAAGTGGTTACTTGTTGAATCATTTGAAACAAATCATTCACAGCGCGAGGAATGACTCCTGGCTCCGCGTTCGAGCCTCGCATTGTGTAAGTCTTTCCACTATTTGTTTGGCCGTAAGCAAAAACAGTACCTTGAGTTCACATAAAAGTTAATAAATTGAATCCAAGTAAAAAAAATAAAAATAAAAAGGATAACAATTAGCTATGCAAACCATTGAATCCACGAACTGCTGCAGCGACTATATCTTTTGTTCGAGCTTGATAGACTTCCTCGGTCTTGGAATTCTCGCTGAATATTTGATCTGCGGGAGCGTAAATTGAACTTAAAAGAGGAAATTAAGAAGAAAATGAAAAATGAAGAAAAAGTGAAGAGTACCAAATTCAAATTTGAAGGAGTGGTTGGGAACGGAAATGGAGTTGCCGGAGATCCTCCAGGGACTAGTCTTGGCATCTTCGGAGGAGAGAGGCCTTGCACGTACAGTGACGTGAATCCTCTCCATAACCACGAGGAAAGTGACAGAATCAGAGAAAAGAAGAAGAGGAACAATGCCAGTTCTGCTCTGCTCAAGTAGTATCTTCTTTCCCGCCTTGCGTGACAAATTAGGGCCAGGATTGTTGGTAATGGTATTTTATAAAAAATATTTTTTTAAAAAAATTTATGGTTCTGCTTCTATTACATATCTTATAGATAACTTTATTTATTTATTATACAGATAGCTTATACTCACCTTTTTTTTTTTTTTACTATCTTTTATTATCAAATTTTAATTATTGATTTTCGTCAATTTAATGATTATAATTTTTATTGGAAATTAATAAATGTAACTCAATAAATAAGAATATGTTATTCTACTTACTTTTTTTTCTAACTCTATCTACCACTCTCTAACACTATTAAGTCAAAATCTCAAATATCTTTATCATTTTTTCTCCTATTAAGTTTATAAACTAATGTTGTCGAAAATTTATAGATAAAAATAGACAAAAAAAAAAAAGAGAGATAGTAAAATAATTTATTCCTAAAAATAAAGGGACAAGATATTGTATTTTTTTTTAATGCCAACTTTATCCAAGTAAAAGATGGTTAAAATTATAATTTAACGGGCATTAAAAAAAATGAAGTAGACATAAAAAAAAATCCTAAACCATAAATAAATAGATAAATTCTATTTTTTTCTCTTTCTTTTTCTTATTTGTGTGCCAAAGATAAAATTATTTCTTATTTACATAAAAAAATTAAATCCAAAAAAAATAAAATTGTAAAGATATATGGCTATTTCCTTCCAAAATAAAATTGTTATTTTTAAAAAGTTATAGATTTATCCTTTTAAGCCTTTAGCATTTAATTCATTTAACTAAAATTATATATTAAAAAAAAATAAAGCAAGCCAATAAGTTAGTCTACATGAAACGAGAATGGATCCTCTTGTGTATTATTTAACATGATTATATTATGTGGGAGAATTCGAACCATACAATGCCGAATCAAAGGTGGTGATTTTATAATTACCTATTTTAATATATATTTTTCTCTCTCTCTTTATCCCTATTGATTCATCTTTGTATGCTTAAGATTCTCCTGCATGACATGGTCATATTAAATAACACATGAGAGGATTCACTCCCATGTGAAACAAATTGGCTTCTTTAACACACGAATGAAATTAGTTGAACTTAGTTAAAAATTAATTTCAAAATATAATCCTAGTTAAAGATTCACAAATCTCTTTTTTTCTCCAAATGGGTTCTTCCCCGAGCAGGTTATCTTCTACCTGTTTTCGCTCATAACACATTATCAATTAAATCAAATAATTCTTCTCACACTTTTTCATTTCTTTTTGAACATGATGAATAATAGAGATAAAATTTAAGTTCCACTTAGGCAAAAATTAAATATACAAAGGAAGTGTTGTGCAAGGCACAATTTTGAATTATGAATGGATGATGAACCAATGTAACAACAATTGTGAGAGATTGAGCGTGAAGAATCCTTTATCGAAGTGGGAGAGGGATATTTATCTCTATAAGTCCCACTCAGTGTGAGTCACGAGAGATTAGAAGGAGAAAATGGAGAAAAAAGAAATTTTATCACATATTATGAAAAATGGTTGGACCAAAGATAGGTGAAGTAAATATCAAAACACTTTTCAAAGTTCATCCATCTCCTTGCTTTAAAACAAGAACAACTAAAATACGACAAGAGGGGGTCAATTGTGGTTACTTATTTTCCAAGAAACTTAGTTTTGCAAGCCCTTTTAACAAGAAATATAAAAAAAAAGGTGAGAGATAAGAAATCAAACTCTTACCAACCCAAAAAAGAATCAAATCAGAGTAATAAACACTATATATAAAGAACCAATAGCGAAAATTAAAAAGATAAGGGTTAGGAAGATTAAACTGCAATACTAACCTTGGTTCACCCTCAAACCACTAGAGGATTACATCCAGACTGAGGTCGATGATCCACTAAGCTCAGAACTTCTAACTGGTGCCTGAGAAACTGATGTACAATGAAATTTTACAAAAATCTTGATCAAACCTTTTATCAATCTCAACATATACACATATGGGATCACTCTACTTCACCAAAATGAAATCCAGCAACAAACAATCTTCAAACAGGCGTAGAGTGTAACACCTCTTCAGCCACCGGTGTATTATCATGCATATGGTATTAAGCACAACATATTTAACTAAATAAATGCAGAAGCTACATTAATTGAATCATAAATATTCTTATGTCAAAACGTGAATAAACTTTTTCATTTAAGATGTATTGCAATTCACAATAATTTCGTGTCCAAATAAAACTAAGTGAGCATTTCTCACACTTCATGACTTTTTAAAAATATAACGGACAACATCTCCTTTACATTTGGAGGCTTTCGGGATTATTCCCACTTTAGCAAAAGTTACCTAATTGACAGCTATCCAATTTCCATACACGCATACAACTATCAACTCGTCCAACCTAGAATCCATCCATGGGTTACACATAATAGGCTTCGCGCCTTTACTTTCTAATCATTAGATAATCATACATCAATTTCCAGAAGTAACATGGGAAGATAAACACTGAATAACCTCATACATTCATTCTTGACATACATCATGAATAAATTAAGGTTTACATACAGTCATTGTACATGCATCTCAAAATATCATATCAAAATAATAAGACCTTATACATGTTCCTCCAACAAAATATACAACTTTATACAAAATATGCATAGATACACATTATGCTCTTCAAAATACATAATCATCATGTGAGAACATGTACAACAAAATAATCATCACGGTTTCATGCTATGAAATAATCACAACGATGGCCTATTGCCTCGTGATACTGCAACAACATCAGTGTCTGTACCTGAAATATGGTCCCCACACGGGATGAGATAACAATCCCAGTAAACTAAGATCCTTGGAGGATTCCTCCACCCCTAAGTTCATTTTAAGAGTAAAAGCAGTAAAACAGATATAATACAGTATATATGACAATGAAATATATAACAATCTCTACAAAGACATTCCTTTGGTCCATCAGCCATCACCAAAATGCTCATATGACATTTGCTAGGAAAGTCCCTTCAGGCACACCTTTCCTCTGGTTTTACCCACTTAGAATTGCATCCATGTAACTCTGGTCCAAAGGGAAATCCATATTATACTTTGAGAGAAGTCCCTACGGGCTCAGCCCTTTTCAGGCATCAAACAATCAAGCAAACATTCAACTGGCCAGAGAATAATATCAAGTATGCATTGCGCAAGGAATATTCATCTTGTAACATAAAAAGCATAACAAAACACAAAGCAAATACACATATTATGCATTATACCACATTTCAGTGCAATTACACACCACATATAAACCACTACTCCCTCGGAGCATGGTGGAACAAACAGGAGATAAACCCTAAGGACCAAAAGTTTACCTCTTGAAGCTAGGTGTTATAGCACCTTCCTTGCCTAAGTTCTCTTATAGCCCAAGAAATCAATCAACAACCCTTCAACCAATATCACCTATTTAAAGGACATAATTCCATAATCAATATATACACAATCATACAAGCATATTAATATGCCAACACTTCTAATTTTTAACAAGGTTTAGGTTGAAGACTTACCAAATTCTTGGAAATTCAAAAACCTAAGCTTGGACACTTTGTGGCTCTAATGAAAGTTCTTACCACTTCACTTGGCTCACCACTACCAATTCAAACAAGCACAAACATCACTAATAATATTTATTTCCAAGATTATACATACAATACACCTACACTTGATTTTTAATCAAATTTTTGAAAATGATACGAGTAGTAATTTCAATGCATTTTCTTGGCTAAGACAATGTTCGTAACATATTTTGTGAAGGCACCAAAGCCCGTTTACATCACAACACAATTAAACATGTTAACCCTCTTTGAACATACACTTATTCTTAGCCATAATTTCGATATGCCTAAGGTGACTTCTTCATGATTTTTCCTTCAACAATCCACATCATTTAAGACTATATCATTAATTACACAATAGGCATAATAACCCACATTATTAAATTGAATGTTGAAAGTTAATTAAGGGAAATGTTTATGTAAATTAAGCATGGATTTCAAGAGATCAAGGTGATAATGAGTAATAAGAATACAACTTATGTCAATCAAGTCATTAGGTGGAGTTATGAGAAAATATTAGGGGTCAAAGTATAAATATGATAAAGTTTAGGGGCCAAATTGCAAATACGCAAAAAGTTACCCTAAATTTAAAAGTAATATTATAAAACTATAATTTAGAGAAAATGGTGGGCTCAAAGTGCAATTAGTATAAGTTTGATATGATTATAAATCAAATTATAAACAAAAGAAAGCCTGGGGACTAATTAGCAAAAACTTGAAAGTTTAAGGTCAAATTCAAAAGTTTGACTTTGTATCACTTAAAACCAATTTAAAGACTTAGCCATTCTTTCTGTCTTCTTCCTCCTCCGATGTCCCATGCACTCAACCAACTCCATGCTCATTTTTCATCAAGTTTTCATCTCCTTGTTTACTCATTAAAACACCAAGCTTCTTTGAAAAGAATTGATGCTTGTCATCTTA